CAAGTATAGCAAAAGGAAGTTCATGTTAATATCAAGCCAGTATAAAGCAAGCATAGCAAAAGGAAGTTCATGTTAATATCAAGCCAGTATAAAACAAACATAACCAAAATCAGATCGTATTCATTGCAAGCCAATGAGGAACAAATATTTAATGAATATGTACATGTGAAACTGAGTTAATCTGAAAAATCATCTCAATGTGATATACTAGTTCAATCAAGAATCATAGAAAGTGTGTATTATCTATACAGTAATTTCTCCTTTTCTACAATAGGTGGCACTGTTATTGTCCGAAGAATGCATCCACGTGGGGGCGCATTAAGGCGTGGAGTTGCTCAAGAGAAAGACGATGTAATGGAGCGTTCAGATTCTAAATTAGAAGGCTTAGCCCGTGTAGACACCACTGGAGCGTGTGACAAAGCCGCTTCTAGGTAAGTCTGGGTGATTTAATTTCTTTGATCTGTTCCGTAACATTAAGCACTTTTTTTATGTTTCAAGCATGTAATGGATATTGCGTGTTTCAGCAGATTAAAGCATTTTATTTTTTAGTTTCATCCTTCCGATTCATTATCTGTTGAGCGAACTAATGCTTTGCTCCATACTAAGAGCGCGCATGTGACATAATGAAATATATATACAAGTTTCCCATTGTTTTATCGCTAATTTTGATTCTTAGGTCAACTCCTAAAGAATGACCAAATATGGTGAAAGTTGTATTTATTTTGATGTCCTTTATAAGAAAATCGCCAGTTCCTTTATATTTAATTATTGTTGTTCGTATTTACTAGTTAAATTTTGTGAAGTTTAGCTTATTATTCTTTTATAAATATACACAGGTCATTTGTAAGATAAATAGATAGAGTATAACAAGATATTGTATTAATTATATTAAACTTCAACAGCATTGTAAGATGAAAGGTTATTGTTATGCCACAAAGCGAGTGAAAAAATAAATAATTAAAACTTTAAAATACTTTACTTTCTATACTTTCTTTAGACAGTGTATTGTTTGAATAAAATATGAAATTGTGTGATACAGAGAATACAGTTTTTCTTTCGAGTTGCTTTTCTTGTAAGACGAAGCACCGTTTGCTTACAGACTTACAGTTGTAGAAGCAACAGCTCTACATAAAATTTCTTATTTAACGCAGTTTTTGTTACATGACCAAGATATATGTAATCTTGCCATAGCTTTCGTTGTTGCTCAGTCAACAGTAATTTTCTTTTTTGTAATTGTTGGATCGCACAGGATGGTCGCAGTTCTTTAATGCATGTCTAGCAATAATCGATGTGGGGTTTGGACTTTATAAATGAGCATTTTTATGTTTTAACAGAATGACGTCTGGTGGTTGATCCTATGTATTCCTGCTAATAAACAAGGCGGACGCATTTGTATGTGCTTAAATCCAACAGTAACGTTAAAGAATATTTCTTACTTAAGAACGTCATTCGAACCTTGAAATATTTGAAAGCGTATAATAATTTGGTGTATAAGTTATCAGAGTTAATAAACAATGAATTATAAACCAATAAAAGCCTGGGTTTAGAATAAATTGAAAATGGGGACCTAGATTTCATGTCTATATCCCAAACCACTTAATGATCTTTCTACTTTCATTACATAAAACTTACAGAGATGAGCAGACATATGTAATTTCTAACGGTTTTTGTAAAAATTTGCATTATAAGCGAAAGACTACACAGACCTGCGATGGTTTTATTG